GCTGCTGCCAAGAGTGGATTGGTTCTGGGTTGGCCAATGGCGGCTCAGGTGTCGTTTTGTTTTTGATGTCGGTTGTCGTAAGAAGTCGGTTGTGCCTCTCTCTGGTGCCTAGGTCACTGTGCCTCCGGTGCTGCAAAGCTTGCCAAAGAGATTGGAAAAGAAGGCGCGGCAGCCGCGAATGCGGGGCACGGGGACCAATTGGCCCCCCTAGGTCCTGACAGTGAGCTCCATGGATTTGAAGTATGGAAGCAGCTTGGCGGGAGATGTGGGGCAAGAATTTGACGTACTCAAGTTACGTATGATTTAGCTACGTGCTAAGCTATGTACTAAGCTATGTACTAAGCTATGTTTAGCTACTTGGATCTTTTGGAGTAAGCTGTCAATGTAAGCTGTCGACGGTCTGAAGACAATTCAGCTGGAGGGGGTCGAATGTACAGACTAGCTTATGAGTCCATCTTGTTCTATCATGAATTTTGATAACTTGTTCAACTCAGATGTTTTTTTTCAGCAGATCTGCGTGGCAACGCGCTTTCCGTTGACTTTCGCAAAAATTCTATGGCTCAACGTTTCCCTAAGGGTCGAGGCCGCCTCCTGAGGTAAGCTCACGGGCGCCTACCAACCGATCGGCATGATGTATGAGCGACCGGTCTACAAAAAGATGAAGATCAGGAAGTATAACAAAAAAGACAAGGACGGTCGAAAGATGCGTGGTCAAAAAAGACTATCGTGTGATCCATCCGATCCATATCCTGCAAGGAGAGCGGGAACATGTTCTTGTACTACTGCGAGAACGGTTGGTGGCCCTGTCCTCAGCCGCCCACCAGGATCAGCAAAGTTTCTGGAACACCCGGAACTATGCCAGGTTTGCAGAAGCACTTGACCTTGCGAGCGAAGCTTTCATCGCCTACTCGAACAGCAATTCGAAAATGTTTGGTGCCACAGTTGTTGGAGTCGAGGCTGTGGAATCGCTGCCAAATGCTCACCGAGGCCTCCTCAGCACGGTTTCAGACTTCAATCAGAGAAGATTGACCCGACTTTGTCTGTGAGGAGGACCCAGGCTCGAACCCACTGTGAGAAGGCTGATGAAATGGGTGGTTGGTGCAAATGGCGTTCAAGAAGTTGCGGTGAAGATGTTGTTTGGTGTGAAAAGTGCTTGAGGGACAGCAGCAATCGCAAGTGGAAAATCCCGTTTGCTACGAAGAAACTAGCTGGTGTAGGAGCAATGGCTGGTGTAAAAGCGTGTTGGCGTAAGAACTATTTGTTGGACATTTTATTATCTGTAACTGTATGAGTAAAACATGTGGCAATGCCTTGAAGGAGGATGAGGAAGTCAAATAACTGCAGGCCACACCGAAAATTGCTGAGAAATACACAATCTCGGTATGGACTTAATCCATGAATACCCAAAACCAACAGACAAACTCGGTAGCCACTTCAAGCCTCCCGTTCCTTTCAAATGGTTCTTGCCCCATGCAGGTGATGCCATACATAGAAATTCTACATAAGGGTAAAAAATGGCTTACATTCATCCAATTGCCTGAAGTTTGACCTGCAAAGATGATAAACAAAACATGTTTGGTTCAAAACGTTTGGTTTGTACAAGTGCTTATGGACGTAATTGCGGGGGACGCAAAAGTGGGTGGATCACCGTAACAGAGATTGCTAGTTTAGAGGCTCGTAGGTGCAAATTGGTTGTTTGAGACAAATGCTATTTGCGATGCAAAACCTTGCATGGACAAATGCGCGACTGTTGTATGGATGGTGGTGGTGCAAGCATTGTTTCTTCTGCGAGGCCTTGAGCAAAGTCCTTGTTGTTCAACATTTTTTTTGTTGCGTTTGTTCGGAACATTTAGAGTGTTCTCTGACAATTTTGCCAGCTGAAAAGTTGACCTGCGAGACCTCTGCCAGTGGGAATTTTGAAAAACAGATCCATAGGGGTTCATATTTCAGAGGTTCTATAGCTTCCGAAAAAAGCTTGTTATTCGTTGGGCAAGATCTCCAATTCCAACACCCTATGTGGGCCATTCCGAACTTGAAGTGTTGTCTTGGGTTCTCCTTTTGAACTTGTGGTGGTGGCCGTGATCATGGTCGTGGTTTTCGTGGTAGATCCACTTGTGACACCATTGGTCTTGGTGCCTGGGTGGGCAGGCGAGACCCCCCTGGACAGAGCCAAAGAGCAGAAATACCGTGAAATGATCCGCATCCCGGAGGCCGCTTCTTGGCTGCAAAATTGTGGGACCTCCAAAAGCCTCATTTGGAGCCCCACTGAAGCTGCCTGAATGGACTGCCAACCAGACAGATGGTTTGAGCGCAACTTGCAAGTTGGCCACAGCCAAAGTTGAATTTTTTTTCACGCTGCCAGCGCTTGTTGGTGACATCTCGCTGTTGCCAATTTGTGACATCTCGGAATTGAAGTTTGCAACAACTTGAAGCCATGTGTCAAGCCACCGAGGTGTCAGAACTGCCGAGATGAGAAAACTGCACGGTGATGTGAACAAAGAGCATCAATTACACTTTGACCAGTTCACAAAGTGACATTCAAACTTCGTAGTTGACAGATTGTCTGTCTTATAGATCATGCGCAAAATTCCGTCAACTGTTGCATTCCACAAGATACTGCTCTCTCCTAACTTTGAACTTTGATGAGCTCCACAGGCTTCGCATCTTTGGTAACCCGAGTTTGTCGCGTCGTGGATTGGCTCAAACTCACAAATCGCTCAGAAACAGAGGCACAAGGTGCCAAGACACCACTGGCAGGGTTCTACCAGCATGGTTTGAACGTCGAAGATCTCAAAGTGTGCTAATCAATCACGTGTTTTTGAGGTTTGTGGAGCGCATTCTGCGAATGAACTTGCAGTGCAAAGTGTGAACTTTATGTCCGTTGATCGTTTTGCCATCAACATCCACCAATTGTTTTACGACCGCATTTTTCGCTCTCCGCTCTTGCTACATTCTTGGAAGTTCTGGTGCCGCATGCTTGTAGTCCAGGTTTTTTCCTTTTGACCTGTGACCTTCGCGCTTTTATGCGCTTCTTGAACGCCTCGTCATGATGATCATCACCGGCAATCCTGCCAGGCTTGCTCTTGTTTCCCAACCCTTGCTTGGATGTTTCGATCTCCACTGTCCCCAGAATATCACTGTTTTTTCTGATAGAATCGTGCTTGATTTTTGGCAAGGCCTCATCTGACTTCTTGGTGATGAGTTTCTTTCTTCTCCTTCCCTTGAATAGTGCATGTTGTAGAAAGGGAAGGATGGCGTAAGATTGTGAAAGTGTAAGAAATTGTAAGAGGACGTGGACAAATTAGTCAGAGAGAGAGAGAGAGAGACGTGTAAGAAGTGGATGTGACAAGGTCAGGGTATGTCAAGGCCAACCAGAGGTCATGGTCCTCTTCGTGGCAGGAAAGTGACAAGAACAAGTCGAACAAGTCGAAGGGTGCCGTTCCAGAGGCTCTAGGGCTCCAGGGTTCACGATGGAACATGAGCTGCAGCGATATTTGCATGATTTTGCATGCCCGTCGTGTTTTTCTAAAAAGATCTTAAAAGTCAAAATCTTTGGTTAGAATTTTTTTATTGAAGAATCTGAAAGAATCGTAAAGGATCTTAAGGCTCAAAAAAGGCCGAAGCAGGGTTTCGTGTGCAACACTGAGGCGATCAAACCCACCTTCTCTCAGATTGGACACGAATTCGATGGACCCAGAGAGTTTGCCAAGAAGGGAGTCAGATGCTGAGAAGAGGGAAATGATAGGAAATGAAGAACGAAATGAAGGAAGTCAGATGAGCCACAGCAAGACTTCTTCCTTTTTTCCGGTCTTTTCTGGAGACTTCTTGATGATTCCTGGAATGAAGGGTTTGAATCTTTAAACGCCCAGGTGAAAGGACGATCTCCGCATCCCCGTCACATTTAACTTGATTAACAACCAGTGTTTGAGAAATTGACCCAGAAACTTCCCATTGATACCGCAACCTCCTGACCTCATCCAGAATCAACCCCTCTGTTTTGAAGTCCGAACATCAGATCCGGACATTCCAAAGTCGCATCCCAAGATATCCCAACGAATCATTCCGACCCTTGAGCGGTTTCTCAAAATAGGGGACCCCCAAAATGGATGGTTTATTGTTATTACTATTATTACTATTACTATAAGTACTATAAATGGTTATTGAACTGGATGATACCTGGGGGTACTCCTAGGTTTTGAGATCAACCAGGACACTCCAAGGACACTCCACGGATACCCAGATGGATCATTTCGAGGAAATCACGAGCTGAGGCCACTGGGCCATGGTGTATCCTGTGACCCCGATTGGGAGGCCACGTCTCGGCAGCGAAGTAATCTACAGGTGGACAGCTTAGGCTTGAAGCGTACCAGCTGCATACGCACTTTGAATCCTTTTCATTTGTTCTGAGTTGATTGGACACTGCATCTATTTGTCTTCTGTTACCCATTTGTTGTTTGGTCGGAGTTTCAACAGACAATGGTGCAGTGGTGGCAGTCGCGTGTGAACATTTTCGCAGTTCTGTAGTTTCGCCTAGATATGTTTCACTAGAGATGCGCTTGACGCCTTCCTGTTGCATTCACTTTCATCGGAGAATGAACAGCCATCATTGAAGAAGCAGTCTTTCGAAATATATACACGATATAAATATAATTAAATATATATGGTTTTTGTAAACCATATTGGTGAATAGACAAATGCGATTCCAAAAGCATCAGGCACTCCACGCGGGACACCTTTCAAGATATGCTGAAAGGTATTGCTGAAGAACCTTTGGCAGAACAGTTGCGAAGTTTGGGACCCAGCTGTGCAGAGTTACGAGTTGCTTTGAGCAGAACCTCCGGAGTCAGAGAGTTTTGATTTCTGCTTAATGCAGAGCTTAGCAAACCAATTTTTTCAGACTTGTTTCTGTTCAATGTAGCACATTGACCGGCACATACCAACATCATGAAAACACATGAGACTAACCACCATTTTTCACATCAATTTCGCGTCGTTGATGTTTTACACCATTTTCACATTGCCACAAGAAAGGGCGCCAGGTGCAGATGCGCAGACCCGCCATGGGGAGGTAGTCTATACACATGTACTAACGTGTAACCATCAGCACCTATACTTTCGAGGTACACCAGTGGAAAGGAGTCCCATGAACCTCATACTAAACATGATTAAAACATGAAATGAACATAAAATGAGACAAATCTTCTTTTCAGCTTCTTGAGTTTTCCCAACATTTTCTCCCCTTCACCTTTTGATTCTTGCCGTCTCCTAAATCATTTCCTTCTCTAAAAACCTTGCCTTCTTTCCTACTTTCTTCTCACCCTTCCTACATTCTCACATGTGATTTTCCTTCTCATTTGTTCATTTTCTCCTCTTCTCCTTCTCCTTCTCTTTCCAAACGGCTGTTCTACCGCTTATACTCTCTTCTATTCTCTCTTTTCCGGGGAATGTTTTTTTCTCCCGAGAGCGTCTGAGCGCAGGGTTCTTCCAATAGTGGGGGCCTGTAAAACATCTTCTCATCTTCACATCTCATCATCACATTTTCTCATCTTCACATCTTCTCATCTTCACATCTTCTCATCTTCACATCTCATCATCACATCTTCTCATCTTCACATCTTCTCATCTTCACATCTTCTCATCTTCACATCTTCTCACCTTCACATCTTCTCACATCTTCTCACATCTTCTCACATCTTCTCACATCTTCTCACATCTTCTCACATCTTCTCCTCTTGCCCTCTTGCCCTCTTGCACATCTTCTCATCTTCACATCTTCTCACATCTTTTCACATCTTCTCACATCTTCTCATCTTCACATCTTCTCACATCTTTTCACATCTTCTCATCTTCTCATCTTCTCACATCTTCCCACATCTTCTCACATCTTCTCATCTTCTCACATCTTCTCACATCTTCTCACATCTTCTCACATCTTCTCCTCTTGCCCTCTTGCCCTCTTGCCCTCTTGCCCTCTTGCCCTCTCCTTCTTTTCTATTTCTCTTTTAAAGGCGGGAGCAGGGGCAGTGCCAACGAGACGCCACGAAACGCAACCCTTTCGCACGAAATGAGGTTCGATCGTCAAAAACTGAGGAAAAATTGCGGGTTGCAAGTCGTCCCGCGCAACCCTTTCGCACGAAATGAGGTTCGATCGTCAAAAAATGGAATAAAATTGCGATTTCAAGGTGTCCGCCGCAACCCTTTCGCACGAAATGAGGTTCGATCGTCAAAAACTGAGGTAAAAGTGCGATTTCAACTTGTCCCGCGCAACCCTTTCGCACGAAATGAGGTTTGATCGTCAAAAACTGAGGTAAAATTGCGATTTTCAAGTGGTCCGCGGCGGCCCTCTCGAGGTTCGATCGTCAAAAACTGAGGAAAAAATGCGATTTCCAAGGTCCAATCGCAACCCTTTCGCACGAAATGAGGTTCGATCGTCAAAAACTGAGGAAAAATTGCAATTTCAAAGTGTCCTAAAAGTGTTTGTGTGTAAAAGTGTTTGTGTGTCAAAGCATCCGTGTGTAAAAGCGTCTGTGTGTCAAAGTGTCTGTGTGTAAAAGCGTCTGTAAAATCGTCTGTGTGTAAAAGCGTCTGTGTGTAAAAGTGTTTGTGTGTAAAAGTGTTTGTGTGTAAAAGCGTCTGTGTGTAAAAGCGTCTGTGTGTAAAAGCGTCTGTGTGTAAAAGCGTCTGTGTGTAAAAGCGTCTGTGTGTAAAAGCGTCTGTGTGTAAAAGGCTCTGTGTGTAAAAGCGTCTGTGTGTAAAAGCGTCTGTGTGTAAAAGAGCCTATGTGTAAAAAGCGTTTGTGTGTAAAAGCGTCTGTGTGTAAAAGCGTCTGTGTGTAAAAGCGTCTGTGTGTAAAAGCTTCTGTGTGTAAAAGCGTCTGTGTGTAAAAGCGTCTGTGTGTAAAAGGCGTCTGTGTGTAAAAGCGTCTGTGTGTAAAAGCGTCTGTGTGTAAAAGCGTCTGTGTGTAAAAGCGTCTGTGTGTAAAAGCGTCTGAATGTAAAAGCGTCTGTGTGTAAAAGCGTCTGCGTGTAAAAGTCTCTGTGTGTAAAAGCTTCTGTGTGTAAAAGCGTCTGCGTGTAAAAGTCTCTGTGTGTAAAAGCGTTTGTGTGTAAAAGCGTTTGTGTGTAAAAGCGTCTGTGTGTAAAAGCGTCTGTGTGTAAAATCATGTGTGTAAAAGGGTCTGTGTGTAAAAGCGTCTGTGTGTAAAAGCGTTTGTGTGTAAAAGTCTCTGTCTGTAGAAGCGTCTGTGTGTAAAAACTTCTGTGTGTAAGAGTGTTTGTGTGTAAAAGTGTTTGTGTGTAAAAGTGTTTGTGTGGAAAAGGGTTTGTATGTAAAAGCGTCTGTGTGTAAAAGCGTCTGTGTGTAAAAATTTTTGTGTGTAAAAGTGTTTGTGTGTAAAAGTGTCTGTGTGTAAAAGCGTCTGTGTGTAAACGTGTTTGTGTGTAAAAGTCTCTGTGTGTATTTGCGTCTGTGTGTAAAAGCGTCTGTGTTAAAAAGCTCTGTGTGTAAAAGCGTCCGTGTGTAAAAGCCTCTGTGTGTATAATAAAAGCGTCTGTCTGTAAACAGTTCTGTGTGTAAAAGCGTCT